TTTCCGTAACTTACAAATACATACACTAAATCAGGACGAGGGACTAAAAAAGTCATAAAGAAGGTGTGCGGGCTATTTCGGCCCTGCCTGACAGGGCCATCTCGTGCTAAGTAAAATAGATGAAAAAACGGAGATCCCAGAGGACGGACAGAGATAATCGATAAAAAAATAGATAAAATACTTTTTAAAAACTTCTCCAGTACGGAATCAAGCCCACGTTGTCAGAGCACAATGTCAAAAAGGGCTTAACTTTTATACCAAACATCAGCTGTAATGACTCTTAGGTATTTCATCTCAAGCGTGTTGAATGGACGTCTCTTGTTCTTGTTTGTCATCTTGTGTGCACAAAGTATGATCAGAGTTATAGTATTGTTTACAACAGAGGCAAATTTGATAAGTAGGACCCCCCTCTTCCCATCGCACTTTCCAACTATTTATATAAAAGGAACCTGAAATAAAAATTAGTTTGGTAAAGTAAACAGAAGCACATCAACACAATAAAGACCATTCAGAGCGGGGGAGGGGGGGGGATAGACAAAGACAAACAACAGATGGAAGGAAAGTAAAAAACTCTACTAACGACGTCCTCCAATCGCGCCCGCTAATACAAATACATAATCATGTAAGTAGTTTCGGGGCAATTCAAAACAGACCCAGTCTTCCACTGTACGGCCTCTTCCATACCTGCGAACATTAGGTACGTTATGCTATATATGCAGCAAGACGACGGTCAAATATTGACGCTTCCTCTGCAGAAAGCAGTGCCACGACAGGAAACCCGACCAGCTTCTGCTCTGAGAAAGAATTTTAGAGACAGACAAACAGACATACAGATATGCAGACAAACAGACAGGTAGATAGAAAGCCAGATAGATAGATAGATAGATAGATAGATAGATAGATAGATAGATAGATAGATAGATAGATAGATAGATAGATAGATAGATTTAAACGTAATGACAGAAAGACACACAGATGGACAGATAGATACAACAAAGATAGATTATAAATATACATGTATTGTATAGAAAGATGGGCGGATGGATGGATGGACGGATGGATGGATGGATGGACGGATGGATGGATGGACGGATGGATGGATGGATGGATGGATGGATGGATGGATGGATGGATGGATGGATGGATGGACAAGCTGACAGCCTAAAATCGATATGGTTCCATTGGATAGGCAGATGAAAAGAGAAACATTAAAATGCAATACGTCTGGGAGATGAACAGTTATATAATAAAAACAAAACTCAGGACAGACAAATCAATACAAAACCAAAAACAGGGTTGGAAGGGAGGCTCTGTGCACGAACAATAATGCGGGGGTTGGGCGGTATTGTGATGCAAATGTTGCTAACAACTTAAGACAAAATTCAGACCATTAAAAGGCGGTCTGCTGCGACCCTGGTCGCAGTGTACCACATCACACTATGCCTGAAATAACAACATGACAGCCTGCTCGAACTATAGAGTTTGTTTCCCACAATACGGCATAGAGCTCATTCTGACAAGGCCCAGGAGGTAGAGGACATCGGTGAATTAGGCCTATGGTGATACTGCGTGTGTATAGCCCGGGGGAGGGGGGGGGTTTAGCATCCTAGTACCTTGAACGCAGATGCAATTTTAGGGCCACTCTAGATCATATCCCTTCCAGCATTAGTTCTATCTTTCCACATCAACGGTTTCTGAACAGAATTTTCTTAATTTTTACAGCAAGGGGTGAAGGTTGGCTTTATCCGTTTGTGAAATAAAAGCGTCCTTCGTAAAGATCGAGGATTCGGGGTGGGTGAGAGGAGCGGAGGGAAGAACACGCTTCATTGAGTGATACTCCCGGCTGGTGATGCGCCTTGGAGAAGCCTGTGAATGTTCTCAACTCGCTCGACGCCTCCATGCCTCAATTCTATCTCATGTCTAACCACCCCCATGCGTTCCAATATGACATCTTTCTTCTTTCTCTATCCTCCTTTCCCTTATCCCTTTCTCTCTCCTTTCCATTACTCCCTCTCTCTCTCTCTTCTCTCTTACTCCCTCTCTCCCTCTGTCTTGTCTCCGTTTCTGTCCCCCCCCCCT